ATGTTTCCAGAGAAAAGTTTATCAGAAAAAGTTATTCTGGGATAGCACTTATTCGGGTCAGAATGTAGATCATTGAGTTCTGTGGGTGTTAGTGAATACAACTTGGGGTGCTTGTGTGGACTATAAGTGAGATTTTGGGTGTTAGTGGGTGAATATAAGGACTTTTGGACTGGTATGATGTGTTTCCAGAGAAAAGTTTATCAGAAAAAGTTATTCGGGGATAGCACTTATTCGGGTCAGAATATAGATTATTGAGTTCTGTGGGTGTTAGTGAATACAACTTGGGGTGCTTGTATGGACAATAAGTGAGATTCTGGGTGTTAGTGTTGAAGGGGGTCATTTTTTGGTCTTTGTTGACGGTTTATTTTTTCTAGGAGTCGGACAAAGTGGGTGTTAGTGGGTGTTTGTGCATATAACTCTCCAAGTTGTGGGTGTTAGTGAAGATGACCCATATGCGTTTTTACAAAGTTGGGTGTTTGTGGTGTTAGCATAAATTAGTAATACCCATATTTTAATCGATATCATTTCATGATACATAATTGATTGCATGTTGAGAGTGGGATACAGAGCTATCACTACACGTTTTGATCCTGTTGAAAGATCTCGCCTAGACCAATTACTCACAGTCGTCTACGGCAGTACACAATCAAATACGGGGGAAAATGATTTCCGTTTCCGAATGGACATATATGACGACCCAGAAATTCAACTGTTAACTCCAGCAGTTTACGGCACTTTACGAACGCTTACGATGATCGAAAATAATAAAACCGCACAGCGGCCATTCACGACCACCGTATCAATAAGCTGACCGTAAATAGACGGAAACTAGACCATTACTATGTGCGAACACATCTCATAGAACTGGATGCATCCTAAAGCAATAGCAAATAATCACATTGTAGATAATACATATATCAATCTACGATTCACTAGAACATGACTAGTACATGTCCTTGTAATAAGAGAGAAGAGTCTACTTGAAATTTGATTGGTCTGTTTGATTTTCCAATTAAGATCCTGGATGTGAGTTTTGTATGAAGAAGGGCGAGGATTGCGATACGTCTACTATTAAATCGATATAGCTTTGCCAAAAACCTTATAGTTGGCCCGAAGATGATCAGAGAATATGGCTATAGATATGTTGAGAAGTCGGGGGGAAAAGAGACGATTGCGTTTTATCATTCTGTGTTGTCGTTGACAGCTATATGTAGTGTAGCGTGAAATGGTTCAGTGATATAAATATATGGTGTAGATGCAAAATTGTACAGATGTGTTTCGTGATATGCCTAAATGCTATAAAAACCAGTAGTCAATGATGGATTATCGGATGGAAGAGAGCTTTTGTTCAAGATCAAATACTTTTTCATTATATGATAGTACAGCTGCATAGTCTTTTAGTAATGTAAATACTTCACTAATAAACAGATAGACAAAAATAAATTTTTGTTGAGTGCATCTCATTGCGAAATCATACTAATTATTTAATGTGTATAGAAGGATTCTATAATTACAGAATTTGTTCATATCGTTCAAGTACTTTATTTAGAAACAATAGATTTTATTTAATTTTTTTGATATAATACGGGATTACAATTATCATCATTAAAAACAGAGACACCTATTTCTAATTTATCCATTTGTTCTTTTGTTAAAATATTCTGTTTACCATTGAAAATCATATTATCCGGCATCCTAAATAAATAAAATATCATTAGAATATTAGACATAAATCAATTTCTTTTCTTATCATTTTTTCTTACATTTGAATAGTCATTGCAGGTCTTCTTCCTGGTGTCATATTGGCATTAGCACCATGAATAAGAAGACCACTATGAAATGAAGCACTTCCTGCTTTCATTGGTACAGCTACTGTTGGCATTTGTTTTAACTCAGGATAAATAGTAAATATATCAGCCATATTATTAGCGATTTTTATCTCTGGAAATGTATTGTTTGATTCATAATAACGACGTTCTATAACCTAAAAAAATCAACCTTGTATCAATCTCTTCATAGAATGATAGAAACAAGAATGAAGAAATAGAGTTCTAACTTTTTAAAGAAATCATTCTCTAACAAACATTAAAACTAAACAAGATCAATCAAATAGATTAAATAAAAATAAATATATCTGAATTTGTTTGTTTAGATAATAGATTTTTGATAAGAAAAAGAAAACTTCAAATTAAGAATAAATCTTACTTTATGTGATCCAGGCATAAAATACATACAACCATTTTCTAATGTTGCATCATCCAATGCAATCCAAACACTTATTGCATGCAAAGAAGTGAATGACCAATATGTAACATCAAAATGCCTTTATAAAGAGAATAAAATATGTATGTATAGATATTAAATAATAATTTTACCAAGAAGTAGGATTTGCAAATGGTTCTTTAATTAATGCTTGATCATGCCAAATTCTAACACAATCAATACCTTCTAATTCAGCAGCAATTTTTCCAATAACATTTCCACTTTGTAGTAAAAGTTCTTTAACAGAATTATGTGTTTGCCATAAATTAATACGTTGTGTAAATACATTATCATAATAATCAAAATCAACATTGGTATGATCTTCTTCATTCGATGTAGGCATTTTATACTTTCTTTCTGCACGATCTTTTACTGCACTATATATAATTGTTCGCCATTGTTCAAGTTGTGAAGGAGAAAGAAGATTAGGTACAACATGATAACCATTTTCATGATACGAGTTAATATCAGAAGATGTAAGTGAAATTGAATTTGTAACTGGAAGAGTAAGAGGTGCTATTGGTGTTACTGTATAAGGCATTTAAATGTTTTAAGCAATACTTAGAAATAGTATTTTCAATTAAAAAAAGTTCGATTGTATTAATCTTAAATAAAATAGAAACATATATTAAAAGTAATAGTTTTCAAAAATTTAAGAAATAACAACTAATACTACATATTTAACAATGTTTACAAAAATATTTAATAGAATATACAAAGTTTTATCGAGGTAGTTTATTTTTATCTATCTTGCATAGAACATCAGTTTATATAAATAATAATAAGAATGAAAGATAAAGAAAAGAGGCAAAAAACGAGTCAACTTTTAACAAAATAATGATACAGATAACGACTTGCTGTAGTATCAATAAAAGGAATGTGAATGATGATAAGTGAGCAACCTATCAGATATTTTTTTTTGTATACAGAATATAATTTTAATAGAAATTCTAATTATAAATCTAAATTTATCATTGATATTATTCTGGCATCTTAGAATTATTATCATTGGAAATTTCATATATCTAATCAGATATAAATTTGCAACAAAAATTATCCGTACGAATGCTTTCTTTGATTGAACATAGAAAATATATAGACCTTAACAGCTGTTTAAATGGGTTCACTCATTAGTACTATTATCACTTCATGTAAAAATAATGAAAGTACAAAATAGCTATTGTTTTAAATCAAAATATACATACATGAAGTTTTTGCAGTTTAAGTGTATTTAAAAAATTCTCATGTGGTTATAACCAGGGCTGGCTGAAAATTAATACGAACATCCCCACAATACACATTGTACAAATAAGCATCCTATCTTATGTAAGTTCTTTTCTTTCTCCATGTGTTGCTATACAATCAATGATACGTTATGTTCGTCATCGTGTTACTGTTACGTTCATCTATGCATAATTAAACCTTCTTCTCATTCTATATGGCTACTTACTCGTATTTTATATGTATTCTTACGGTATGTCCTTACTCGATTGTTCTTTTATATGTATTCTCTCCTTGACCTCATCTTCTTTCTTTACGTCATTGCTTATTCTACTCGTGTATATAAACGTATGATTTAAATGTAAATGATACGAAGAAATAGAATCACCAATCTCACTAACATTTCTTCTATCTTTTTTCTTTACACACCCACACCCCTCCCATACGCAACACACTTCAGTGATCATTGAGTTTTATCATATAAAAAACTTTTTGTAAAAGAAATATATTTATAATAGTGCCATTGTTATTCGAGCCGGGCCGAACTCTAAATTGAATCAGATCGGCTCATCAAAAACTGGCCTATTTCGAAGTCTGATTTCCATTACTGTAATTTATTGCGGTTTACCGCTAATAGCTGTTCGGTATTTAAGATAGGAGTACTATGAGGAGCAGATAATATAAAGTTTTCAGCTAAAATAATAATTTTATCATTTTTTGAAAATCTAATTTGTTCTTGGTTATCTGGATTTAAAACAATTCCAAAAAATTTTGTTTCATCATGTAAATATTTCATTAATCTATAACCAATTGGTAAACATTGATGTTTTAATGTTTCTTGTAAAATTTCATAATAACTAATTGGTGTTTCTAATGGAACAAACATTGATGCTAAACATAAATAAATCTCAGGACCATCAGCTGTTAATAAAACATCATAAACTTTTTTAATATTTTTATTTTCAGATAATTGTGAAATATAATTTGATATTAAATTTGGACTAACAATAAAATCATCGGCACATGTTGCATTTGCTAATTGACAATTATGTATATCATACATTTCTGCTACTATACTAAATGTTTTTTCATTATTTGATTTATCAATAATATTTTTTAAATATAATAAACAAATTAAACATTCCGAATCAGCTTCTTCAATTAAATATTGTTGTTCACTTTCTTCATTTGCTAATAATATAAAATAATCATATGAAAATAAATTTAATTTTTCTAAATCAAATTTATTTGTTAAACTTCCATAATGTAAAAATATTTTTTGTTCTATTAATTCCTTAATTAATTTTTTATTTATAAATTGTATTATTATATCAGAATTTGTTAATATATGTAATTCACTACCACGAGCAACATAAGTATCTAATTCTTTAGCAATTAATGGAGCTTTATTATTCCATCCGAGTAAAAGATTTCGTTCAATTTTTTTTGTTGCTTTTTTAATTATAGGATTTGATAATAAAATTGTATTATGATTAATTAGGGTGTGGGTGTGGGTGTGTGGG